GCAGGTCCCCACGGGCCAGCAGGCGGGCGAGGCAGTGCTTGGGGCGGTGGCTGCGTGGCTGAGTCCTGACTCCAGGACTCAGGAAACACCGGGTGTGCACCCCAGATCTGGAGAGGACTGGAGAAAGGCCACCCTGAGGGAGTGGGTGCTTTCTCACCAGCAAAGCTACATCCAACTCGGCCGTTCCACCTGGACTCTTGGAAGAAGCACCTTGTGCCTTGGCCACGGTGTAACCTGTTTTCTGCTCAGTTAACTCCCGTGGGGCTTCCCGACGATCGTGGCCCTGGGCCACGTATCTGACCCACGGATCCTCGTCAGCTCCAAGTGGAGGCCCACCCTGTCCCTGCCATGCAGACAGAGGCCCAGCCGATGTCCATCCTTCCCTGACTACGTGCTGGAGCCCCTGCTTACCTCGGGTGGCCTCCCTCACGGCCTGGGGAGCGGGGTGGGACAAGTGCGCAGTCGCACGGAGGTGACAGGGCCAGCCCACTCCACAGCCCTGGAGGGTGTGGCTAGGCAGATTTCTGGGGGGCTGTGAGCAGTCCAGCATTCTGAGGTCACAGCAGTGTTCCTGGGCGCCAGGAGTGGTGGGGATGCTAGGGTGGCGGGGTCTCACACGGCCAGGTGCACGGCTGAGTCTCAGACCTAAAGGCTTGGAAACTGTTGGGCGTGTGTGCAGCCCTACAGCCTTGGGGGAGGAGAGACTGAGGGGGGACTGTGGGGGACTGTGGCGTGGCTATCCCAGTGGGGGTGAATCCTCACCCCCACCCTCTGCCAGGCATTGCATGTGAACTGCCAGCAAATCTTTTTAAAAGGAAACAGAGAAAGTGGGAAAGCAAGCCACCAGGTCCGGGACTTGAACTGTGGTCAGCCATGTGGGAGTGTCCAGTGCCTTAACCACCCGCTAAAATTAAAAGAATTCTATGGGTGCAGGCAGAGAGGACCCTTGCCTGGTCCCCTTTACAGGTGCACTTGAGGCTCTGCTACCTCAGTCCCTTCCCAGCCCCTATCCCAGGCTCTGTCACCTTATGGGCCTCACTGGCCCGTTTCAGGCAACCAGGGGCCAATGCAGACCCCAGATATAAACGCAGTCTTCCAGCAGTAGGAGTCTTGACCCTAACCCTTGCCCCTGCCCCAGGTTTAAATCCCGACTGCCCAGGGACCTTAGGTGCTGACAGCTGGCCAAGGGGTGGGATGAGGGGCACCTTCAGCCTACCTGGCCGCGCAAGCCTCATCGGTTTCGCAGTCCATGCAGGATCCCCCCCAGAAGCCTCTCCCGTTTGGGCCTTGCAGTCCGACCCCGTGCGCGACGCCCCTTGGCCGGCGCACACGGCAGGTGCGTTCTCTGCTCCCTGCCCCTTCCCGCAGAGGCGCCGACGGTGTGGTCGCCAGAGTGCAGAGGATGGAAGGGCGGTGGTGAAGTCCCCGCTTTGTGTGGCTTTCAGGCCGGTCACCAAGGGAGCTCCACCTGCCCTCTGCTCAGCCCTCATGCCAGACGCGCTACCAGCCGCACGCCGGGAGACGGAGGTGGACTGCTGCCCGCCCTGCCCTGCGAGTGGGGGAGAGGCCAGGGTCAGCCGACCCGACCCGGAGCTTACCCCTGCAACCACCGCGTCCCATAGCCCCGCTTGTAGCCAGGAAGTTGGGAGGGAGGATCCGCTTCTTCTTCGGGAGGGGTGCGTGGGAACTCCCAGCCCCGCAGCAGCGGGCGGAGTTTTCCCGCCTGGGCCTGCGCGTCCTGGGGTGTCGGCGAGGGTGGGAGGTTGTTCCGGGGCGCAGGGGACCCCCCCGGATCCCTTTCCGCGTCCCTGTGACGCCCCACCCCAAGGGCAGGCTCCCCTGGGCCTGTGAAATGGGCCGGCACAAGCCCCTGTCTCCTGTGGCGCTCCAGGGCGTGGTCCAGCCGCGCTCTGGCCTCCTAGCCAGGACTCCGCAGGAAGTGAGGTCGGGCGCGCCTGAGGCCCGGTGCTCTCAGCCCCAGCACCTCGCGTGGGTGTCGGACAGAGCGGATTTGAAGGTCCCCAACTGGGGTGCCCCAGACCCCAAGAAACCTCCTGCCCCAGGGCTCCCTCCCTCCTGACGCCTCTGTTCCATAGACCGGGCGAGGGGGCGGCTGGGAGTGATGCTTGCCCGCAGGAAGTGAGGTCGGGCGCGCCTGAGGCCCGGTGCTCTCAGCCCCAGCACCTCGCGTGGGTGTCGGACAGAGCGGATTTGAAGGTCCCCAACTGGGGTGCCCCAGACCCCAAGAAACCTCCTGCCCCAGGGCTCCCTCCCTCCTGACGCCTCTGTTCCATAGACCGGGCGAGGGGGCGGCTGGGAGTGATGCTTGCCCCGTGCCACGGCCGCGGCCCGGCGGGGTTGGCAGGGGCTAGGGCGCCGCATAGGACGGGGCAGAGGCTGTAGTGAAGCCTCACGCCTGCAGTCCCACCACGTCTCGGGGGCTGGATGTGGGGACGCCCTGCGGAGGGGCCCGCCGGCAGCCCACCCGCGCCCCTCTTTCGCTGCTCTTCATTCTTGAGCGCCCCCCGGCTCAGCGGCGAGGGTGACCTGGGCGTGCGCCCCGGCCCGGAGGCTCCGGGGATCCCCCAGCTCAGAGACTACCTGCTCAGAGACCACCTGCTCCCCGCCCTGCTCCCCGCCCTGCGGGTGCCTCCGAGCGCACGGGGTCTCCCCAAGGACCTCGCCGCGCTCCCACTGCGGCTCCGCCCGGCGGGCCGGGCCGGGCCTGAGCCC